GGAAATCCTGCATGCTCACCAGTGGGAAGTTGCAAGCTAAACTACTTCAAGTGCCTCCCCCACCCTGTTAAACACGCCATGTGCCGACTTTTGTTCATAGAGATGTGACCCCTGTGAGGAGTGACTTGAGCAAACTTGTTTAACTTGAACTGCAGTGGAAATGTAGCATATATGGAAGCTGTCACTGCACTCAGCAAAGGGACACTGAGACAGTAGTTTGGCAAGAGGGATTAACACAGTTGCTTATTTAACTCCACTTTTAGAGTTCATTCCCTTCAACACCAGGCACGTACTTTGTCCCCTGCATGATTAATGTTTTTAGTGATGACTGAAGCAAATGTTGCTAAGTATTCTGGCCTCCTCACCTCGACCTACAGTTCATTTTCTCTCCTTGTAAAAGAGTGGAATAATTCTGCCTCTTACAGCTATTTTCTTTATACTGAGTGTTATCTTGTCACTTCTGGTCTTTTATGACATCTCATTTTATTGCCCTGGCCTGCCAGATTTGGCTCATGCTACTGTTTTGTACCCTTCCTCAGCAGGTTCTGTGCACATCCCATCTGTATGCTGTCTTGCTGCTGTTCAAAGGCACTTCTTTGCTGAGGTGCCCAGCTCCTAAGTCAATGATTTTACCCATCTGATGGCCTTACAGTTGCTTGCTCAGAGGGAAAAAAAAAAAAAGAGTATTAAGGCAGTTTAAGGCAGTTTGTAAAACTACAGTTAACACTATTCTCTCATTATAGATCAGGACAGTCTTCAAAAGGACACGTTTTTCCTGTTACTCTGGTGCACCTATGTTTGTATTAGTTAAGCATCTGTGTTTGTATTAGTTGCGACAATTGCCATGCAAATCGAGGCACTAATTCTGATGAGGAGCATGTCCTTGCAAAACACACTGTCCCTGTCTCAGAGCTGTGTCAGACCTTGCATTGGGTATGTCACCTCAGGGGGCTGCTTAGCAGTGGCTGCACTGTTTGGATGCCTGTACAAAGACCTTTGGGGAGAGTCACACAACCAGAGGAAAACTAAGCTTCTGCAAGACCAGAATTTCCACCTCCTCCAGACATTTGGAGACCCACCTGTTCACAAAAATCCTTAGCTGATAAGGGCCCCAAAAGCTGAGGACTGAGGAAGACATCTAGCAGGTGTCAGCCTGCAGGTTAAAGGAACCTGGACAGTAAGAGGTACTTTGGTTCTTCCTGCCCTAAACAGGCTAGTTCAGGAAAAACAATTCAGTTAACCATGTAACCAATTATTCCTGACCTTGGGGGTAACTTGAGTGCTGATGGCAAGGGCCTCTGAAGTCATTCCCTGAACAGCAGTGGCAGGGTTTCCTGGTGCAGATGCTGGCCCTAGGTCAGGTTGTTGCCCGAGAGGCAGGTTTCAATGCTCCCGGCTGTTTTCCCTGTGCAATAGTGGTTGGACAGATGTAAACAACAGAACCTGGTTCCAGGGCCCAAAAGAACCGTATTTGTGCCGACAGGCACGCGGGAACAGGAAATATTGCCTTCGTTCTTGTGTAGCGAACAGAAGGCGCTGCCCCCCTGCCTGTAGGAGTAACAGTAAACATCCCCACTGAAGCTACTGTAAACATTAATCCGAGCTGTAAGCTTATTCACAGGCTCTAAAATCAGAAGCTGAGATACTTAATCTGTTGATTTGCTCTAATACCGAGAGGCTGCAAATGAGATTGGCTCACTGTTACTATATTAGCTGTAACTAGCCACGATGTAGCATGCACCTCCGATACACACATTGAACAAAATCCTTCCCGCTCTTTTCCCGGGTAAACCATAAGGCACCTGAAGAAATACTCCTTCCCAAAAAGCGCTACCTCGCACCTGTTCCTGCATCCCCGCCGCTGGCGCCGTGGAACAAGCGTTAAGCCCAGCCGGGACTGTGTGGGCAGTGCTCCCTATTCCCAGGGCACGGCTCCTACTGCCGCCGGGGTGAAAGAGGGCAGGAAGGGCCGGCACCAGGAGGGGCCACCTCCACCCGGAGGAGGAGCCCCGCCCGCCACACTTAAGCACCGTGACCGGCGCTGCCCCGCGGCCGGACCGGCCATGGAAGTGGCATGGGATTTCGTGATATCGCTGCTGCGGTGAGTGCGGGGATACCCACACCCCTTCTCCATCCCCGCTTCCCACACTGATCACGGCAGAGGGTCTGCCTGCCGGGGGATGCCCGAGTCTGAACAGCTCTTTGTCGGCTCCAGCGCTGCGGGAGCAGAGGGCGCATCGGGAGCGCTATGCGAGGGCGGCCAAGGCGGGGCTCCTGGGGGATTAAACCTGATGGGCGCTGGGTGGGAGAAACAAGTCGGGACACTCTCGCAGCCCTGCAATCCTTCTTTAGGAAGAAGTTCTTTACAGAGAGAGTGATTGGGCATTGGAATGGGCTCCCCAGCGAGGTGGTGGAGTCATCGTCCCTGGAGGTGTTAAAGAAAAGGCTGGATGTGGCACTCAGTGCCATGGTCTAGTAGACAAGGTGTTATGTTAAGTCAGAGGTTGGACTCGATGATCTAGGAGGTCTTTTCTAACCTTGGTTCTGTGACCCTGGCTGAAACTCTGCTGAGGGAAGCGCAGGTAGGAGCCTTGCAGTTTAAACTGCCTGCGGAGGTGCAACGACCGGGAGCGCTCACATCCCGGCATCCGAGGCTGCCGCCTGCGTGCCAGGAGCTGGCGCGTCAGCAGCGGAGCCTCCATGTAGCCGGGAGCCGTTTGTACTCGGTGACAACATGACCACAACCCCTGGGCTCTGCTAGCGTTCCAGGAGTGCCATCCACATCCATGGGGGTACAGTTCCGTACACTACCCAAAAATGTATCCTCTGCCAGCTGCGGTTCTGGTATCTCCACAGCTCTTGTTCTATTAGGGAGACCATGGCTGCAGTCTGGTTGAACCCTAAGTCTCCTGACTAATTTCTGACCCTTTTCTTTTCTTTCTTTTTCCTTTTTTTTTTTTTTTTTTTTTTTTTTTTTTTTTTTTTTTTTTTTTTTTTTTTTTTTTTTTTTTTTTTTTTTTTTTTTTTTTTTTTTTTTTTTTTTTTTTTTTTACTACACTGTTACTGACGTTGCCGTTTGCCAGTGAACCCTCACCTAAAAATCACAGTGCCATATCCTGGAACCACTTGTGTTGTGCAACATTCATTTTTATGAGTGAGATTCTTATACAAACATATGGGGCACGTTGCAAACAAGGATAAACAGTGAAATATGTGTACAGGGCTCAAAGCAGGCTTTTAATCCCTGGATTCTCCTAAAAAAATGAATTAATCTCTTCCACCAGATTTGACATTACAGTGAATGCTTGCAGCAGTACCTGGGAGTCCCCCTCTAGCAGGTTGTAGTTATCAAAAAAAACCTAGGTAAGATTCTAGATTTTTAAGATATTTGATCTTTCACTTAAAAATGCATTTTTGTTTTCCACAGACAAAGGATTTCTCTTCCCTTAGGGAAGAGCTAGGACTCGATCCTTTTAACTTTAAAGAATAATAAAAATAAGTGTCTCTAAATATGTGTATAAAAATAAAAATAAAAATAAAAAATATGTGTATCTGACATGTCCCTCAACCTTATAATAAAACCAACTATACCTTAGTTTCTTTCCACCACTTGTTTCCTGACTTAGCTTGATCAGCTTCTAATAGGAAATTATTTTTGGCAACTCCAGTCAATCGGTTTGTCTGGGTTTTGAGGACAGCTACAACAAGAAGGGATTTTTCTAGGAGCAGTGAGTGTAAGCTGGCCTGTTTGAGTCTGTAGTCTGGGAAAGAGAGTGGCACACAAAACGAACAAACAAAAAAAAAAACCCACAAACACAAATCCAAGCTTTCAGGAATTGGCCCAGAAAGGGAAGGGTTCACAATCTGTTTATCTGGCTTTATTTAATCATACTGGCTTTTGTCTCCTAATACTTCTCATTAGCTGAAACCTCAGCCTGCCCTGGAGCTCAGACTCATTGCTTCATAAGTAGCCTTCGTTTAAAGATGATTTTGACAGGTTTTATAAAAATGTAGGTGAAATGTCATCAATGTTAAATAAATTCTTAAGACTTCAACTCCTATTCAGTCACTGTCTGGTGGAGACAATGAAAGTCCTGGTTTATTAATCTGATTGGTTTGGGTTTTTCTCTGACTTTTTAAATCTCCTAGAATTAGGCAGCAGTGTGAGGTGACTGATCTCGAATCCTTTAGGAACTTCTGCTCAGAGCTTTAAAGTATGGCTTGTGTAGTTGTTTGTGCTAATGCCTGAGGTGAACCCTGCTAGCTCCAGCTGTGCCATGAGCTGTGCCCCTAACACTTTTCATTCTGTATTGGCATGTATGTTTTGGCTCTTTACCTTATGCTTTGTCTTTTTGTGAATGACAACTTGGCTTAAGTAATGGGAAAGCAAACTTTTCAATGGGTCTGGCATTGACTGTCCTCAAAAAAACAAAACAAACAAAAAAAAAAAATTGGCAGTACTGTCATATACATCACTCAAGTAACTATTCTACATACAGGTTTTCAAATGTGTAAGAGGGAATGAAGCTCTTGAAAACTGAATGCTGCTCTTTCTAACATGAGGATGCCCTCTAAAGTGGTGTCCCCAGCCCCAAGGTAGATGAGCAGGCTTCCTGTCTGAGGAAGAGACTCAGTGATTCAGATCGCAAGCTGCCCACGGACCAGTGGGGTGATTGGGGGACAATTAACTTAGTCAGCAACGAGACTGACAAACATGCCCTGCCCTGGCAGGCTTCCCTTCTGTGGAGCTTCAATACCTTTGTCAGTGCTGCTGTCACTTTGTCCTCCTCCCTGGTCTTGACCCTTCTCCAGGAGGAATAGTGCTTATTAGCTCTTTAATTGGAAACAATGCTTGTTTCCTGAAAGCCATGTGGATTTTTAAAAAAGATGTGACTGGGACATTATTAGTTGAGTAACTTTATACCATTTCATTGCTGTTCCAGGAATTCCTGTATTCACTCTCTGGCTGCAGAAAGAGGCTGCCAGTTCACTCCTTTACTCTTGGTGAAAGTGTCTGAGAATAGATTTTCCTACCTAAAGTTGACCTTTCACACCTATGTATGGGGATACATCCTCTTCCCATCCCAGAGCAATTCAGTATTAAGGAGCAAAGGAGGTAAAGTCTCAGGGTGTGGCAGGCAAAATATTGTCTCCCTTTAAAAGATTTCGAGATCAATCCTTTCTTTCCAGGTGTCAGGCAGAGCATCATTTTTGGCAAGCTGACTACTGAATTAGCCAACAGCATTTGGCAAAAAAAGTGGCACTTAATGTAGATGAGAGCAGGTCTGTACCTTGGTGTGGGAGTAGGCAGTTACCAGTGTTGTGTGCTTGGTTTACCAAAGGGAAACAGCCACTATTAAAGCATGCAATTGCCCAGAAAAATCTGAAATGTCTTTCTAAAAGTGAATTTTTCCAACCTCTCTGGCAGCCTGCTCCAACACCATGTATTTAGGTACTTGGACCTTAACTTTCATTTCATTTGACTCCTTCTGACACATTAGGGCACAAACAAGTCTTAGTTTGTGCTTTTCAAAATTCCATCAATTTTTATAGGCTGTAGATATAATTTACAAGATAAAGGTCTTGGTTGTTTGTAAGTCAAGCATAACTATATCAAAAAGCTCCACTTGCATCGTGACAGTAGGTATTTTGAATATGGGTACTACGTTCAGTCTTCTTAAAGCAAACTCCTATCTTAACACATAAGGTTACTTTCAACTAATTATTTATCTCACTGCATGTTTGTCTTGCAGGTAAAAAGAATAATCCAAGTGACTGAATGCAGTAAGAGCTGCTGCCTTTTTAATTCAGTATTAAAACCCATCAGCTTCACTGCAATTGTGACCTTGATGCCAGCTGAGCTAGAGGTGGCCCGCATCTGCTTGAAATTGTTTTAGTTTTAAAAGTGCTTCCAAATGTCATGGGCGAAAGAGAAAGTTCAGAGACATACCTGTAGGGCTGCATAATACTTAGCTTTGAAAGGAAGCTCCACTGGTCTAACATGATCCGTGAATTACTCGTATAATGTGATTATGTCATTGAACTCAGCAGTCCTCCTCCTTCTAGCAGAACTTGACATGACTGGTTTTTTATAACTATGTTGAATTTTTGTTTATCTTAGATCTTTGATATCCATGGGAGCATCTGTAGGAGCCATAACAAAACAGGCCCTGTTCCCTCCTCTCATGCCTGCAGGGCGACCTTTCCGAGTGTCCAATGCCTCCCGAAGCAGGCGGAAAGGAATTGTTGCAAGCAGCCTGCAAGAGCTCATCAGGAAGGTATAGCAAACAATCCCACTCTAACTGAAACTTATAGTGAAATACAGTGTCCCAGAAAGACAAACCACAGACTTTTTCTTCTAAAAATCATTACTGGGGAAGTTTGGTAGACTATGTCAAATAAACAAATCTTAATATGAAATGATGGGCTCTCTTTAGAATGCTAAAATTTTCTGGTTTTTTTTTTCAGACTTTGGATTCCTTCTTTATATCTGCTGGAAGAATTACTATGGTTTTAGAGGAAGATGGCACAGTTGTGGACACAGAGGAGTTTTTCAAGTCACTGGATGATAATACACACCTCATGGTTCTAGAAAAAGGACAGAAATGGACAGCAGTAAGTGTTGACTGCATCTCTCTCACTTGAGTAGAAGTGGATGGAAGAATGTTTGTGGCTGCTAAAATTGTTGAAAAGAGGGGAGAAGAGGAGAAAAATTACCCCAAAAAAGTAAAGGTGTCAACTCCTTGTTGAGCCTTCCTGGGGGAAAAATCAAGCCCATATTTTTTATTTTCCCTTGTTTGCACATAATCTGTTGGCGAAGATCCACCAGGAATTGAAATAAAACATTACAACTGAAAAGAATTATAGGGGAAATACCCTGCTTTTAGAGAAATAACTTTGTTCTTTACTTACTTTTTGTAACATAAAGAAAATTAGGAACTTGTTTGTTCTTTACTTACTTTTTGTAACATAAAGAAAATTAGGAACTTGTATTTTTTAGCTTCATGGAGTCAATGTCCTTAAAAGCCAGCTTTTAAAGCATAAAAACCAGTCAAATTAAGCAATGTAAATCGAGTTCTGTCTTGTGAATGTAGTAATAGTTTAGTGAAGTTTAGAAAAATGCCTGTTTAATTTTACAAATAGCTAAAAGTTGGCATTAGAACCTAGCATTAGTCTACATGCTTCAAGATGTTTTAAGAACTATTGAAACTGGCTAGCTTTAGCCTTCTAATCACATCAACTCAGTGTCCAATTAGTGGGTTTGTGGGGAGATAATCATCTGTACATTAATAACATAGTCAAACTCCTAACTGTCTTTCCTTTTCATGGTTGTTGCTTGCATCAACGTTTTTTCTACCAGGTGCAGAGCTAGCTGTGGAGCTGTAAGCAGACATAGCGTTTTTATGTTTGTACACACACGGCTCAATTGCGTGGCCCTGTTTCCTCAGTGTCCTGCTGCAGTGTGGGCAGCCTGGACATTTTCCCCCAAGATACCTCACTGGCTTACCAGCCTGCTGCATCTGGGCCATGAGCTCCAAGGGCAAAAAAGAAGTTGTAGCCGGAGTGTGATTCCACCTTGCTCCTTTCCCCTCTGTCGTGTCTGGCATGGCAGGAGCACAAGTTTGAATGCAGCCCCTCTTTAGTATATGCTGAATGACAGCAGGACTGCCGCAGCTTCACAATCATCTAGAGTGCAGCACCAGCTCTGTTATGCTTTATCCAAATGTTCTGGATGCAAATAGGGAGGGTCTAGGAGGGGACATGCTACCAAGTATATACCAACTACTTCTACATATCCAAACCTGTTGTTGATAGGGGATCCTGTTGCTGGAGTTCGGGGGCTATCAAAGTAAAACAGGCATAAAACTGTTGGCTAATGATATACTGCTGTGTTTAACTTTGTCTGACTTATCATGGCACTGTCTGAGAGCTGGGGAGACAAGTACAAAAAGGCCCAGCCTTACGCAACTTTATTGCTTCATTTAGCATGCAAAAACCAACCTGACAGCTGCCAGGCCATCAACCTTGAGTGGAATGTGCTGAGCAGAGGATCCTGTGTATCCACTAGATGTCTCTGTAAATATGGATTCTCTTTGCTATTTTCTTTTTGTTTTTCCTTTCTTGAAGCACACTGTCAGCCCTGCAGCAGACAAGGGCTGTTTTCAATAAAGGAGGCTGGATTTAAGGTGGAAGATGACTTTCCACGCTCCTTCTCCTTTGATTTTTCTCTTTAAAACTCATGACTAAACCCTAGGCCTAATCAGCAGCGGTTCCCTCCCTGTGTTTCTTTTCAGTAGGAAGAAAAAGAGGTGTTTTGAGCCAGGGTTTGAAACGAGGACATGACTTTTCACATATGTCATCTTTGTAGCTGTCTCTAAGAGTGCTCATCAATACTGTTTCCTTTCCTAAACAGAAGGTTATTTAGTGGCCTGTTTCAGTGTGGACTAACTGTGCTGCCTCAGATAGCAACTGGAAAGTAACAGATAAATAATCAGTAGGAACACTCTCCAGTGTCATTACCTGTGACTTCAGTATACGCTGAAGAAACTCTACTACAGAAAAGAAATATTCAGGAGGTGCTATGTCACTTGAACTTCCATCGTTTTGGAATAGCTTCAAAATCCTGGTCAGGACTTGAACAAAACTACATAAGACACAGACTTGCTTTTCTTTCTCTGTGCTAACGGTTTTAATTCTAGTTTAGAACTGACCAAGAGCTAACCCTAAGACTGGAATAAGCAGAGTTGCTTCTGAAGAGCTGTATTGTTAGGAATTTTCTTGCTGTAGTTTCCTGGGTCATGGTACAAACTGTCTCTCTTTCTTTTAAATTAGACAAGAAATGGGGTAGCTAACATCACATTTGATCTGTACAAGCTGAACCCTAAGGATTTTATTGGCTGCTTAAACATCAAGGCGACCTTCTATGAGATCTACTCTGTCTCATGGGATATTAAATTCATGGGAGCAAAAAGCATATTGCGGTAAGTATGTTGCCACTACTGATCAGGTGTATACGTTAACACAAAATCTGTGTTTGCTATTGGTTGTGTGAAGCAGGTGCGTTTATAAAGTTAGTATTATTAAAGTTAGTTTTATTATTTCTTACATACTGGCCAATATGCTGAATCTTCCTTTGTAAGGTGCATAGCTGACTTGCAAAAACTTCCTACAGCTTTTTATGGTGGAATCTTAAATTTCTCCCAAGGCAAAAATCTTATCAGCTTGTATTTACTGCAAGGGTGTAAGTATAGTCTCTTTGTTCTGCTGAGAGAATTTCCCCAAACTCCTTTGACTTGTGTGAAGAATGCAGAAGCCTGAGAAAGAAGCTCTTTGAAAGGAAGACTTCCAGGGAATGAAATTATAGGAATTTGAGATCTAGTATTAAAGCTTGCTTGGACTTTGCAGTTTCTGTCTGCCAAATTCACCAGCTGAGCTACATAGAGGCAAAGGAAAATGGAAGAGATACAACACTTTATCTTATTGTGAATTTGTCATCTGTAGTAAGACACTGATCTCACTATTCTTAAACCAAGTTGTCTGGAGGCAGACTAATGGAGATTATCAAGGACCACTCTCTTCTGCAGGACTAATCTGTGGTGGGTTATGAATTTGGTAGAACTGGCTGTTGGGAAATGCTGTCTTATTCAGGGGCAAAATAATACCTGTCCAGTCCACTGTTTTCAACGATGAGTTAAAAGTTGATGCCTTGTCAAAACTGTGTCCTGCCCTGGTTCAAGAAGACTCCTGAATTCAGATACCTTCTACACAGAGGTGCCATACTTTGACAGTTGTTTAAGCTGCAGCCCTGAATTTCTCTACCTGACTTTTCAAATTCTGGTTGATACACAATGGTGTAGCATTGCTGCATTTTATTACTCGAGGACCAGATCTGACAGACAGAAATATATGTCACAAGCAAAGTTTTCACTTCCCCTGAGTGACATGTAGTCTTTAAAGTCTTTAAGTATTCCCTCCTCTCCTGATGCAGGTATGCTAATTAGCATTGTAATGCTAATCTTGTTTCGAGTCTTTCACTCTGGTTGACCTCTCCCGCTCTACTTGGGGGGTCCCTTGCTTAATCTTTCAGGCTACAGCTGGTGTGACTGTAGACAAGACTTTGCCTCTGGTCAGGCTGCAGTGATGATCCAGCTTCATGCTACACCCACCTGTAACACTGGCTTTGTTAGCGTTTCTTCAAAGCAAAGGTTTGCCCTTGGACAGCTGCACTCGTCCAGCTCCTGTGTTTGTCAAGTTTCCTAAGCCAAAACAAACTCTAATCTCTGGCTGCCTGCTATGGAGCTGAGTATCAGCACTGGAACTTGCGCTGCTAAGGAGAGTTTGAAGTGACAATTCTGCCTCCCTGCCAAGACAGGGCAGCTGCTGAGAAAGGAGCGGTGCTGGCAACAGCTGAAGTAGCTGTGGAGTTCTTCTGGAAGCACTGCTATGTTACAGAGTTGAACTGTAAGGGAAGTGCCAGTGGCAAGGTGGGAAAATAGTCTGCTAGCAAAGAACAGGGGTGACAGAAGATTATCTTAACCTAGATGCCCTTGAACACAAGAAAGGGACAGCCTGTCTCAACTTGCTGTTTAAATAGGAGACAGATGATGTTAGGTCCCTCTGCTAATGAGTTCCAGATTGCTAATTCTGATGCCCTCTCCCTGAGTCTACTTGCAGAGTGTGAAGGGAAAGGACTTAAAAAAATCTACAGTTGTTCATGGGTGGGAGGGACTGGAAGCTTGCCGGATCTGATTAGTACATTTCCCCTGATGTAGTCTCCCTGTAGTGTCCAACTGAAGGATCAAATGTCCAGTTCAACAAATAACTTGCTCCATGGCTTAAGTGGCAACTGCTCTTGTGTGCAAGTGACACACTGCAGCTGCTCAAAAGTTCAGTACCAGGTGCAGCTTTCTTTACAACTGTAAAGCTCCTTGGCCTGTACTGTGCGATGGAGGAAGAACATGATGAAATGGCACATTTCAGGGAAGCACAAATAAGAGTACAGTGCTCTTGAAAGGCTTCCCAGGCTATAAGAACAGGGCATTCTACTCTTCTGAAGAACTGGATTTTGACTGCAAACCTTCTTTTATCACAGCGGGGAAAAATGAATTTGTAGCAAGAAGACTTTGCCTTTTCTGCTGAAGATCAAAGGGCAAGTGAATAGCAGCAGAGGGTTCACACTTGCATGCTTTCTCAGACAGGAATTCTGCAAATCTTCCCCCCTTTTTTTGCAGAAGAAGGCTAGTCTGGTTTCTGCATCTTCAGAAACTGATCCCATTCCAGGTTTGAAATGGTCCCACTTCTTATGTCTCTCTCCCCCAGTGCCTCAGCCTCATACTTGTGAGGGCCTACTTGACTTCTGTGGGGATGAGACTCCAAAATAGCTCTTGGTGCTGATACCCCCATTGTTTCTTGGAGAAT